CCATGTTCCCATTGAATTTTGTGATAACTGTACCTGAATTTTAGAAAAATAATAGTTTAGTCCCCCCAGAGCTGCCTTCTATGCCTCAAACTAAGGATGACACAGCAAGAAGTACTTGTCAGTGGAACCATAAGACGTTTAAGAGCTCACAATGACTATTGTAGCAGATTCCTGACTACCTTGTGGAGAAATCTAAAGACTGAGCACAGCCAGGCATCAGATTTTGTGATGTATATTTTAAACATTGTAAGAGTTCAAAGAAGTGGGCCAGGCATGGAGGCTCACACCTGTAAACCCAGCACTTTGGGAGGCCGAGGCTGGAGGACTGCTTGAGGCCAGGGGTTCAAGACCAGCTTGAGCAAGAGCAAGACCCCTGTCTCTACAAAAAAAAAAAAAGGAAATTAACCAGGTGTGGTGGTGCTTGCCTGTAGTCCCAGCTACTCGGGAGGTTGAGGCAGAAGGATCGCTTGAGCCCAGGTGTTGGAGGTTTCAGTGAGCTATGATGATGCCACTGTACTCTAGCCTGGGCAACAGAGGGAGACCCTGTCAATCAATACGTCAATCAATACATACATACATACACAACCACAAAACCAATGTTAGTTCTGCAGCAAGGGCTCTGAAGTAGGTGCTCCAGTAGAAGTCAGGTTTGAAAACATCAGGTGGCCCATGGATTGTTCTCACTATAGGTTCATAATTATTATTTTAGAGATATGTATTCCTATTAGAATATGAATTCCATTAACATGGAGGCTTTTGTTTATATACTGTATATCCTTTGTGCCTGGCATTAATAGGTACTCAATATATTTGTCAAATAAAATGAATTAATGAATTTATCTGGAACATATTCATTCTACATGAGTTTCATTAACTAAGAAAGAAATTAAAGTCAGATAGAATTCTTATTTTGACAATTCACTTAAAGTCTTATTAAATGGTATGTAAATTTGTTTTAAAAAACAGGAAAATACATTTTCATTTGCTTATGTACTCGTTTTTAGAGGTTAGTCAGCTCTTTCTGCTACCTTTATGGTAATATTAACTCAGTGTTATTGCTATGACTAAAACTAGTCCATGCCCTGTATCTATATAATCCTTTTCTGTTTAATTAGGGCTTTTAAATATACTGTGTGCAGCATATTAAAATAGCAACCTCTAAATCTTCATACTTTTTTGGTAGTTATGTTCAAAGTGAGATGAAACACCCATAATTTTTTATTAATCAGGCAGCAGTTAAAGAGATTTTTCTTTATAATAAAAACCAGCATTACAACTACATGAATGATCTAAATAGCTGATGTCTGTGGATACTTTAGTCCTTAATTTCCTTTACTTTTCTGTGATATTTGACACTATTTTGTCTTCTGAGAAACCCTGACCTCCATGATAAAATACTCTCCATTATAATGGAAATAATGGAATTTGAAACCTGACTCAAAGGATATGGTATAGTTTCAAAAAGTGTTGTTTGATGTATTAATCGAATAAGCAGAAAGAACTAGGAATTTATCCTTAAAATCCACACAGGTTCGTATCTTAGATTTGTTCACATTTGATATAACTGAAGGACTAAAGTTAGACTGTTGGGTGTCAATGGTATGTCTTAAAAGATCCTATTCACAAATTCAGTCGCCAGAAATCTTGTGTAGGCACAATTTCATTACATCTGAACAAAACAGAACTTTTAAAGAAAGGTAACTGCCAGATGATTGCAGTCACTTAAAAAAAAAAAAAGAAAGGTAACTATAAAATGGAAATTTAACCAAAAAATGTATATAACTCTTGAGATAAGAAAACATTATATTCCACATCAAATTAGAAATTTTTCTCTTAAATTCAGATGACATCCCTAGCATATTAGGAGATAATACAGGATTAAAATGTAAACCACCTAGTCAGGGGTCCTCAAACTTTTTAAACAGGGGCCCAGTTCACTGTCCCTCAGACTGTTGGAGGGCCAGACTATAGTTTTAAAAAAACTATGAACAAATTCCTATGCACACTGCACATATCTTATTTTGAAGTAAAAAACCAAACAGACAGAAACACCCGTGGGCCATAGTTTGAGGATGCCTGATAGAGTATTACTATCAACTGCCAATTGTATTGCTCATGTCCAAGATCGCAGGCAACAAACATAACCAGGAGAACTCTTTAAACTACTATACTATTCTAAGTGCCCCACAGTTCTCTCCCTTTAGCTCTTTCACCCACTTTTCTGCCAGGTCTCAAAAGTGAAGTAGGTCACTAATGCTTTTCTCACCGGACCACATTTTGATTCTTAAACACTTCATGTAATATCTTTCCTGGGTTTTCCTTTGGGGCAATGACCTAGCTGTACAATTATTTTCTTTTCCCCATGGTACCTACTGGTGATAATCTAACAAAAACACTTAATGAACTTCATTAGACAATCATACAGGTAATTTTAATATTTTTGTTTCATTATCTAGTTATCAGAGACACCAATGGCTTTTCAGATTTTATGACAATGGTCATAAATCTTTCAGGTATTACTGATCTGGCCTAATTCATCTTTGAAGATGATTGTCTTATGTGCCTTTTGTTGCAGATATTACAGAAGGGATTGCTCAGTGGGAACAGAGATGTAATAATAGTACCTCCTTTGTCAGTTTTCTTTATCATAGAAGGGTGCGGTATAATAAACAATAGGGGGAGACAATGTGCAGTTATGAAGAAATCTCAGCCTTCTTGTTGCCTTGATCTTATACACCAGAGCTAATTTCTGCTGTCAGGTGCCTGCCAAGAATCCTTTTGGGGCTACTTTATAAGACACAATGTCTTGAGTGCACCCATTGCTAGTCAGTCTTGTCTACCTGCCAAAAGGTAATTTTATTCTAAAATAGCTTATAAATGAAGTTTTTATATGTAAGGTTAACAATCAGGAACTCTTAACTTTGAAGCATGAAGCAAAACTGTATTCCTCAAGAATCTTCATCATGGTATGTCCTGTATACCATAACATTTTCTCCATTTCCAATTGAGGATGGCATTTATTAAAATGTCATTACCATAACTCAGCTTTCCTTTGGACCAGTAGGTACTTATTGAGAAGGGCACTCAAAATACTGCCTTATTCCTTCTTATCAGTGGCTTTTTGCAACTACAAATTGCTTAAATGCTTGACAGTAGACCTTTAACAAAAAGCTAATTGCACCAAGTAAATGTCAATAAATACTAAGATTAGAAAACTGTATTTCTGATAAGCCATATTCATCTTGTAGCAAACTGTCAACAATAAAAATGCTCACTCAGTTGGTAATTTTCAATGATGTGTAGAGACATGTAAAAGTAAAAAGGTGATTCATTTTTAAAATTGGAGACTAGAGTAGAAATATGAGACTAAAAAGTTAGCTGGTGGCACAATTTTCTCTTGCAACTTAGCAAACAAGAAAAACATATTGATGTACCTTTACATCCAGCAACTCAAAAATGTTACTACTATGTGGGCAATACATAGTTGTGGATGAAATTTAAAAACACAAGATAAAAAGACATTGAAACTTTCTGGTTTGCTGATCCATTTAAAGTTCAATAAATTACCAGGAGAATTTGTAATACTTTAGGGTGCAGATTAATAACTGTTGATTCTCCATAAAAATAACAGTGCAGACGGTTGAACAATTACTTTGGTTAGTTGAAGTGTTTTGAAAAATGAAATTACAGTACAATCAGAATTTTTAGTTTCTCCATAAATCAAGATTTAACTAAGCAATCCAGAAGTTTTCATTATTTAAGAAAACAGGCACTTAATAAAATCTTGAGTTTACTGTGCAGTTTGCTATCAAGAAGAGCAAACTTAAATAGCCAACAATCAAGTAGTTTCTGCATTTTAAGATTCAAGTTAACTGTTCTTCACTGTCCTTCCTACAGGGGTGGCTCCATCCCGAGATCATATTAAGTAAGGTTACTTTCAAGGCTAAACCAAAACCCAATCAAGGTACACTTACTAGATCACTTTTGAATCACAAAAGCATCAAAATCCTACTGAAGGGGACAAAAGAGACTTTATTGGTTTTAAGAACTGCCTAATTTCTTTCAACTGAACATCCAAAACCACATAAAATTGTTTGATTACATTATACCCCAAGCTAATTATTCCACGTGAATCAAATACAGGCCAGTTTTTAAAGAAAAGTACTAAAAGTGACCACCTATTTCTCTCAGTGAAAATAAAATTAAAAAATACAATTAGTATCTTCTTTTCCACATAGACTCCAGGGTATTTAGAACACTAAGTAATTTCCTTAGTTATCTAAACCACATCTTCTCTATGAAAACTGTATTTTCCTGTCAGGAGTATAAGTGGTCCCTCATGAATCAAAATCGGCGTTTTTAGATTTTAAATTCATCGTATCTAGAAACCGTAGTTTCAACGCCTAAATCTTCCCCCCCCAATACAAAAACGAATGATATAAGCACCTCATAAGAATCAAAGGCCAAAAAGACCCCAAACCAACCCACCACACCAGCAGAATTTATTTGAGCACCCAAGTTAAACTAAAAAGAAAGAAACAAAACCAAAATCACTCAACAACATACTTTTTATTTTTTTACCTCTTAACATTTAAAAATCTGCAGAGTGCAATTAACTACAGATTCAATCTTCTCATTTAAGGAGTCGCAAAGTTTAAATAGAAACTTTACATTGTTTTAGGTTTACATTTTTAAAAGACACGCTTACATTTTATTGCCAGAGCGTATCAAAAAATCAGCTATAAAATATTAAAGCACAAACTTTAATTACTGGGATTACTATCGTGCCCCTAGAATGCTATTTCTGCCCGACAGGATACTTCATTCCACTCCAACCCACAGCTAAAGACTGAAGTAAAACAGGTACAAACTACATTTGCATTAACTACCGAATGAAGCGTTAACATTATTTAGGGTGAAGTTATGTCAGTATCTTACACAGTTCCACTCCTTCCTTCAAGAGAGTGAATCCAATGGTTCAGCTCTTCCCAAGCGTTAAAATGTATCACGGTCCTCCCCTCTCCCCGCAATTCCTTCTTCTAGGAAAACGTGAAACTAACGGTTTCCGTGGCGGCCGGGCCGACCGGGCACCGGGGCTCCGCGGGCTGTCCCCGGGCCCCCGCGCCCCGGAAAACAAAGGGGATTCCCAGCCATTGTCCTCCGCGGCGCTGAGCATCACCAGCACTAGCAAGGCAGTAGCTTGCGCAGTTATCTCCACAGCGGGCAATGTCACAACCCGACCAACAGCACAAACTACTACCTCAGCCAGGGCCATGGTGTCGGGGAGGCACGGGACCACGCGGAGGGCAGCGAAGCGGCGCCGGCGCTCCTCCGTCCTTCCTCCGCCGCCGACGTCGGCCCGCGCCCCTTCTCTTCCTTCCCTTGCCCGCCGCGCCCGGAGACCCCGCCCAGCGCCGCGCGGCTCGGCAGCTCCCGGCGCGCCCCGAGAGCTCCGGGAGCAGAGGCGGCGCCGGGGAGGCCGGGGCCGGCGTCCTCTACGTCAGCGACCGCTCTGAAGAGAAAGGGAGTGGAGGGGTCCCGCGGAGACAGCCGCTCCCTCCACTGCCCCGAGGGGAGTTCGTCCCCTGGGCCGCTTAAAGGCAGCAAGGGGCGGCCAAAGCGCAATGAGACGCCAACTGAAGCTGGACGGTCCCCGGGAGGCAGCGAGCAGCGCTCCTGCGCTCTGCCCGCCAGGAGCTCCGGCCACGTCTCGGGGCTGCGCTGCCCGCGCCCCTCCTCGCCCGCAGCCCGGGTGGGGGCTGGGCGGCGGCCGGGCCAGGCCCCCGCCCCGCTGCCGCACCCGCCGCCCAGCCCGCTCTCCGCGCCGGCGAACGCCGGGGCGCATTCCGCAGGGGCGGCCACCAGCTCCGGCACCGGGAGGAAGAAACCGAGGCAGAGCTGGGAAGTCCCCAGGCCACCCGTTCCCCAGCATCCTTCAGGGAAATCCCGTACAGCTCTGCAGGAGGCGAACAGAATAAACAAAAACCCTGTAAAATTGAAACCGGCCGGGCGGCGGGCTAGGTGGCGACGGCGGCGACTCGGCGCGCGCGGACACACGACCCATCTCGCGCTCCGCTGCTCCAATGCGTCCGGGCGAACCATAGAGATCACTTAAGGAGGCTCGCGCGCTACTCCCCACCACGTGACCGCCCCGCCAGGCCGCCCCCCGCGCCGCCATCTTACATCCGGGACATAGGAGGCGTACCCTCTCCCCGCCTAGGCGAGCTCCGACGTGCCACTAGAAATCAGCCCTGAAAGGGGGGACCCCGATTCCACGTCACTGAAGTGCTGAGGCCGCGGGCCATGCCCTTAGTCCGCTCAGCGGGGTAACGTGGAGCCCCAAGCTTTCCCCGCTCTTTGCCTGCAAAAAAAATGGCGACGCCTACTGTCGCCTAAGTGGACACGTTGTACTCTGGCCGGAGTTTAAAGTTTCCGGCACCTCCTTTCCTCTCCGGCAAGGACACCAACCATAAGCGCCCCACCCCCGCAGCGTGGCCACTGTGCTACATTCCTCAGAAAACAGGCGGGAAAGCTGCTACACAGCTCGCTTTAATGCGCATGCTCCTGGGACTCTTGGATTTTTTTTTTTTTTTTTTAGGCCAAGTTTGGGAGAATGCCGACTACCATGGGTCCTCATCTGCTCTAGGCCCAAACAACTTACCTTTTTTTTTGTCTCTAATTTAGAGATTTTTGTAGGAAGTTAAAGGAAAAGTTAGGGCTTGCCAGTTAAAATACAGGATGCTCAGTTAAATCGGAATTTCAGATAACCAAATAAGTTTTTGGCATGTGTGGGTCCCATCTACTAAAATAGTTGGTTTATCTGAAATTCCAATTTAACTGAGCATCCTCTATTTTTATTTATTAAATGCGGCAATCCTATTGGTCTTCGCGCTTCTGAAAATCCAGATTACACGTAACAGAAGTAAGGAATAGAGGGAAATGAGAAGCATGCAGCTACAACTTGGGACTGTCTTTGCCCAGATTTTCGCCTGTTCATGGAGGATAGAGGGCCAAAGTCCAGAGCAAAAATTGGCAACAACGCATACGGAACTTCCAATTGGCAACAACGCATACGGAACCTCCATGTATTATTCCTTTATGGAAAAATAAGTTTTTTTCCCTCTTAAACCATAACTATAATTTTGGACAACAGTTTCTCTTGGTCAAGAGTCTCATTGCAAATTAAAATTAACACTTTTTACTTCTATTTTATATGGTACAGGTGAAACAATCTCTTGAAGTTCAAGTTTTCAAATTAAAAAGCGACTTGCCTGACATGTTTTGTAACATTTTTATGTGCATATTCAGAAAATAAAATATAGCTGGATATGCCCATTAACTGACAGATCAATGTTCTGCTAATTTTAAGCATTTTAAAGCAACTGATGAAGGTACTTTGCCTGGGATATCCAATCTGAACTATTTTCAATTAAGAATATTTATTTATTTATATATGCATGACACACTTGCAATTAAATGACTTACTCTGACAAAGCATAAATTGTCCATCACAATGATTCTTATCAGAGAGTCTGCAAAACTTCACATCACCCTGTCCTGATAAGCAAAGGTTGGGCTGCCATGGCATCACACCCCACTGCTCATTCACTGCACAGTGGATCACATTATTCTGCACCATGGCAAATGTCTTTTGTCATAATGGCATTGATTTTTAAATAGCCATCAAAGAGTTGTTTGGTCTAGGTACACAGATTTGTTAGGGAAATAAAATTTCCAACTAACAATCATAATACCACTTTAATTGTTGTATCACTTAGATTCCTCTCCACATTTAACTTGTTTTTGACAGTGCTGACATCAATATACTCATCATCCACATACAGTGTGCTGTTAACCATCAACTATTTATTCTTCTCCACTCTTAATATCCAGAATCTAAGTATCCTTTCCAAATATCACCACCTTCAGCTAATCAATGCTTTATCATCACTTCACAGAAGGAAAATTGCAACAGCTTCCTACGTTAGCTTTCCCTACTCTATTTCTTACACTCTATTCTGCTTATAACTGCAAGTTTACCTGTCTTAGTTTCATAACTTAAAATAATCTTAAAAATAATCCCTCCAAACCCTGCCATCTCAAATCTAAACTACTCTCCTTGGCTTCCAAGGAATTTCAGGATTGGGCCTCAAGCCCTCACAGTCAACCTTGTTTCACAACACACACCAAAAACACACACCAAAATGTACCCTCCATCAGTTTCCTCATACTTGCCTTGCTCACATTGACTTTGCCTGAAATACCCTCCTATATTAGACTCATTTGAAATCTACCTAGCCATCAAGGCCCATTTAAAGTCCCATCTCCACCACTGAGGTTTTCTTTTCTTTATTGAACTTACTTCAGAATACTAACAGCAATAGTAACCTGAACCACAGAAGACTAGGCTAAGGCTTCCTATTTTATGATCCCATATTAATTTGTACTTGTCTTTTATTGTACTTTGCACACTTGTTAATGGTCTGTATTCCCTGTAAAACTGCAAACTTCACGAGGGCAGAGACTAACCAAATGCCTAACACAGAATAGGAGCTAAAAAGTTGTTAATGACTCCTCAGTACTTACATAGTTTTGTAGTCAGTATTTGATATATGTGGTTTCCTTGACTAGCTATAATAAAGATCTGAGAGCCCCTAAGGACTTCTGTCACATATAGCAAGGACACAGTTATGAGCACAGAGTAGATTCTTCATTCTCAGCGTCTGTTGTCCAGTAAAAGGCAAAAATTGGTCCTTATTGTAGAAAGGTATGGGTTTTTTGCCCATTTCTTGAATGATGTGTATCAAATGTATTTTATTTCCCTGACTATCCATTGCAGATCATAGGTCAGGCACAGAGCTTTACAACACTCCTTTTTAAATTCTAATTAACTACTCTATGTGTTAAATACCACTATTAACTCCATTTCAGAGAGCAGAAAACCAAAACAGATTAATTAACTTGCCCAAGTCCACACATTTAGTAAATAACATTGTGATTTAAATTTAAGAAATCTGGCCCCTGACTTTGGGCTCTTAACCATTATGCTGTTGCTTATATCCTCCTAAACAACAAATCAGATGTTTTAAACAGTTAAAATGTTTTAAACTCGGATCAATAATAAAAACCCAGTGAAGCGTCATTACACAAATTTCTTCCACAGTATTTTAAAAGTTCTGTTCAAGTATATTTGTCCCAATGCCTATTCAAAGAAGTAGCAATTGCCTCAAAAGTTATTTTTCAATTTATTTTAGTAAGGCCTGTCTTTTAATGGAGTGGGAATCATATCTGCGAAACAGGAAAGTAGCATAATGTAGAGGAAAGAATTGATTTTGAAAAAGACAGACGTGGTGATATACCTAGACTTTAGGTGTGTGACTCTAGGCAAGTCATTTCAATCCTTAATCCCTGACTTCCCTCTTCTATAAAATGAACATAATAATAACTTCCTTGCAAGGCAACTTTGAGGATTAAAAGAATATAGGTAAAGCCCTGGCCTACATGTGTTAGGTACTCCAGAAATGGTGATTAAAATTATAATAGGAATTAGAAAAATTATATCTGACTATAGTACATACTAATGTAGGAATTTTTCTATTTCAAATATTCATTACATAACTCAAAAGGAATTTTAAAACAAATGATTTTTCTTTGAGAGGTGGAGAGATAGTCTGACACTGATATAAACTGGCAGTCTCAAAACAGCCTCACCAAAAAAAAAAACCTCATAAAATAAAGATTAAAAGGGTCTAATCTACACCAAGATTATTTTTTAGTTGACCTAGAATTTTTACTAAAAGTTCCAAATCTTTTCTACTTGAGTAATATTTCATATCTGTTTTTTTCATTTTATAATGTTTTTTTAACAAAGCTCTCAAAAACATTTCCCCTTTATTATATTACATATTTTTTCCCAAATTGACCACACATGTTAGCCATCCTAAACATATTTGAATCACTGCTCATAGTCTTTCAACAGAGTCAATGATGTGAAGTGTCAATAACGTTTTGAACCTAATGGGGATGAGAAAGCAAACAACAAAGTATATTAAAGAAAAAATAAATCATTGACCAGATCTGGAGGTAAATTATCAAAGAGGTTATGATTTTAAGCTACAATGAAAAAACCAGTACTGCTGGAACATAATTAAAAACCTAGAATCATGCTTAATAGTAACTGTAAAGCAAATTAAGGATCTATATGAGGCAGTTATAACTACTATTTAGCTTTTGTGAAAAATCTATCCTTGACTACAAGGAAAATTTGGGTTTGAGGCCAACAGACATTCATGATTATAATATATAACTGATACATCTCAACAACATAAAAATTGTAAGAAGAAAGTGTAACAACAGTGGTTTTACTTTTAAGAACTGTGTTGGGAACTAAAAAAGAATCTTACAAAATTAGATAAATATATCCAGTCTGACATAAACACCATATGGTAACTGCCTTAAGAGACAGGAGTTGTATGTTATGTGTTAAAATTATGACACAGAGGTAGTAAAAGTTGGAAAGCAAACGGAATTTGCACAGTTGGGTCTGAAGCCTAATATTTTATTTTTCTATATAAAATAAGATTGCAATATTATAGCTTCAGAATTTTTCTCCTGTCTAGTAAAACTTCATACAAGGAAGCAGTTATTATTATATTGCCATAATTTCCAAATAATGGAATGTTTTAGCAGATCTTCCCTGGCTGCACCATTTATTGAATTTTAGTTTAAAATAAAACTTAATGTTAACTACATTTGCAGCAATTGAAAATGGCCTTGAAACTCAATAATTTTCTTTTTCTTACCAGAGGGACTAGAATCAATCCCATAGTATAATTAGGAATGTTTCAATTGACCTCTGAGTCACCATAAGCACCAAGCACATGGATACCATATACACCCTAGAAAGACTCAGAGATGAGAATTGTAACATTCTAGGTACTGCTTTGCAATAAACAAATAGAAATAGCTGAAATAGGTTGGGGCGAGGTGGCTCACACCTGTAATCCTAGCTCTCTGGGAGGCCGAGGCAGGTGGATTGCTCAAGGTCAGGAGTTCGAAACCAGCCTGAGCAAGAGTGAGACCCCCCATCTCTACTATAAATAGAAAGAAATTAATTGGCCAACTAATATATATAGAAACAATTAGCCGGACATGGCGGTGCATGCCTGTAGTCCCAGCTACTCAGGAGGCTGAGGCAGTAGGATTGCTTGAGCCCAGGAGTTTGAGGTTGCTGTGAACTAGGCTGACGCCACGGCACTCTAGCCCGGGGGACAACAAAGTGAGACTCTGTCTCAAAAAAAAAAAAAAAAGAAGAAATAGCTGAAATACATGGGCAATATGCTGCTTCAAATCCTACTTGAAAGTAGGCAGTGTCAATTATTATAAATCAATAAATATTTAGATAGCATAAATCTAAAATAGTTTAAAGCATGTGCCTTCCAAAACAAAGTACGTCCCGAAAGCCCACAAAACAAACAAAAAACCTGATGTAAATAGATTTTAAATACTTCCCTTTGAGAATAGTATAATCTTTCTATCC